AGAATTGGAGTCCTACTGGGGGAAATGGGAGGGTGGGGGCAGATATCTGAGGAAGTCCCAGGGACCCACGCAAGGTCTTCTGCGTGGATCTCTTCCCTGTCTCCCCTTTCCTGTTGCCTCTCTAGCTCTTCACCTCTTTCTCCTCAGCAGCTACTGCTTCAGGACAGGAGAGGGGGGATCTCTGGGAAGGGAGATGTGGGGAGGAGGGGCTCCCTGAGGTGCCAGGTGGGGGGTGGGGAAAGGAGGACTTCCGCTTAAACTGTAGCTGCTTAACTCAATGGTGCATCTAAAATAAAACATATCTCATTCTCCAAAACCTAATCTTTTCCAGGAAGGAAAATACAACCACACAAATAATATTTGGCCCACATAAGAAATTGATATTCCTCCTGTTACTATACCCATAGCTCTATTTCCTGTGAGCAAACACTCTGACCTTATTAGCCCAGGAAAACATTTACATCCTCTCTGTCCAAGGTCAGATGACAAGATATCCTTTATTAACTTGACAAAACAGCATATTGTACTCAAGTTCCCGACTCCTTTCATCACTTGGAAGGGAAATAGTGGTGGGTGTGGGATCGTAGGGAACGCAGGGCAAGAGGTCTCTTTTCACTTGATTACATATATTTTTAACGTACACGAAATTACACGATTTTTGTGGGTTTTTTCCCCATATCATAAGCACCACCCCCCAAGTTTTTTAAAACCCCCTAAAGACCCTGTCTTATATAAGCACCCTTGCAAATGAATGCATACTATTCCACTGTAGAGCGTAGCCATGGTTCTGTGATTTTAGGAATAGAGGTCCCTAAAGACCAAAAGACCTCATATTATTCTTGCTAAAGTAAATCCTTAAGAGTCCCAACAGCTAGCTTAGTAATTGCAGGTAACTTTCCAAAGACATCGCTGATAAGGAGCAGCTTCTGTTAGAGGACTGGAAATACCCTCTGTGGTCAGAGCTGCGTGGAAAGCACCGAGACCGGGCTTGGCTGCAACCACAAAAGGGAAGTCAAGAAACACATCCCAAGAGGAGACACAGTATCCACAGCTGTCAGTCTATCCCAGGGAACAGAACTGAAGACATTTCATCCTGGACACAGGCAGGCAGCTGTGTCACTGCACAAGGGCGGACAGACGTGGGGCCAGCGCATTACTAACCTTGAACTCTAATCATCTCTGAGGTCGCGGAGCCCTCAGTTTTCAATCCTGGTTGTACATTAAGGGGGAAAAAAAGTCGGTACTACTCAGGACTTATTGTAGACTGATTAAAGAAAAGAATCAGAGTGCTCCCCGTCTGGAGAATCTGAGAGAGAAAGCTCTCTGTTCAATGTTTGTAGTTGGGATGACCTGGAAAGCCTTTGTGGAGGCAGGGAGTGGGCTCTACGATTTCTGTTAGGGCCCCTTTCCCTCTCCGTGTTCCTTAGCCAGGACTTGGCAGGGAACACTGGGAAATCAACAATTTCACAGAGTGTTCTGTGTGCAATTTTTTTGTTTTTGTTTTATCTTCGGGTCTCATCATCAGGCAGATGTGATGAATAGGCCAGAAATTTTGGAACCACAACTTGGCTTCTGACTGCCTCAGGCTTTCTTGAAAGTTTCCAGCAGTCAAGAGTTTCATTCAGATATCTGCAGGGGACTTTCAAGGGAAGGGCTGGGAAGCTCATAGCCCCATTAGGACTTCCTATGACCTTCCCAGAGGGCCCAGCCACACAGATGCGGGCTGGAATGCAGCAGGAAGCTGCAGAACAGGCAGGAAGCCCAGCTCCACGTTACATCACAAGCAGCCTCCAGCAGCCAATTCTGAAATATCCTATTTCTTCCTGATCCACCCGCACTCCCAAACACACATCTAACCAGCCAGTAAGATTCAGCAGTTAGCTCTGAAATGCGTCTTGGATCTTGGATTCCCTCTGTCCTAACACCAGCTCCCCAGTGCAGGAAAAAATTCTCCTAACTGGACTTCCAATCTCCAGTCTCTCCACCCCCAGCCCATTCTCCATGCCACAGCCAACGTGATCTTGCTAATCTAAGAACTTCTGATTTGAAGATGGCATAAAGTTAGTAATCCTCTCTTCATTTTCTGGAAATAATCCAAAACCAAAAAGGAATTGAGAGATAAAAACACAAATTCCAATTTTAGCGAAAGCAGGAGACAAGTAAACCACAAAATAGGTAGAAGAGTTGCCAAAAGCAATGGAGCTTCAGCAGAGACGTGGCAGGAGGAAGTGGATCAAGGACGTAGTGCTGCAGAGTCTTCGGGACAGCCTGAAAAATACTCCTCCCGAAGGGGAGGGGTACACCTGGATGCAGAATGCACAGAGGCCTTGTGTGCGACAGCAGAGAACAGGTGCAGGTGCTGTGGAGTGAGCTCTGCTGGCTCAGGCCTCAGGCAAGCCAGAGTTGTAGCAAATGGTCCGTTTCTGTGGCAACAGGGGAGGAGAGACGTTGCCTTGGGGAATCCTCACCATTGGTTGCAGAGAATTTAAGACTTAGTCAATTTACAGCAACCCTGGGTCATAAGGAAAATTTAGTCAACCTGGAAGACAGTCTTGGACTCTCTCACACCCGAGGTCCACGCTGGGGGCGAGGGGCGGTCTGCTTCAATAAAGAGTAATATATACAAAGTTTTGACAAGAAACCAAGGACAAAAAAAAAAAAAAAAGAAAAAAGAAAAAGAAAACAGCACGTAAAAAAGATTCATCAAAAAACATTGCCAACGGAGCAGATGAAAATTCTAATGAGAAAATTAAGAAAACGTAGCAAAGTAATTCCCTCCACAAAGAAAACACACACCTGAGAGATCAGGGAAGAGGTAACGAAACAGTGGAAGGAAATGAATCCTGAGCTGCCAGAGCTCAGGGAAGACATGAAAGAAAAAAAGAAAACTATCCAACCTTCACTATTAAAATGAAGCCTAAAATTTGAAGCAGTAAAAGGGGAACACATACTCTTGGAAACTCAATGAGAGATAGTGAGAGGAATAAGGAAAGTAGGCAAATTAAATGAAAATAAAGGATTAGAGAGAAAACAGTAGGTACTTTTGAAAGGCAAAGAAGATTTCATTCCACATGCGTTAAATATGTCTGAAAGGGGATGCGCACAGTGGCTCACGCCTGTAATCTCACCACTTTGGGAGGCTGAGACAGGGGGATCACCAGAAGTCAGGAGTTCAAGACCAGCCTCGCCAACATGGTGAAACCCCGTCTCTACTAAAAATACAAAAATTAGCCGGCATGGTGATGTGCACCTGTAGTCCCAGCTATAGGGAGGCTGAGGCAGGAAAATCACTTAAACCTGGGAGTGGAGGTTGCAGTGGGCCAAGATTGAGCCACTGTATTCCAGCCTGGGTGATGGAGTGAGACTCCATCTCAAAAAAAAAAAAAAAAAAAAGAAAAACAAAATTCTGAAAGGGCCCACAAGAAATTGATAATATCAGTTGCTTCTAGGGAGTAAAATTGGGTGGGCCATGAGGTAGGGTGGAAGGGGTAGAAGGAAGCCCAGGGTGGAAGGGAGATTTCACTTTTGTGTTTTTTAAAGTGTTGACTTGTATGAACATATTAGCTCATCAAAAACATTCAAATGAAGCAATACACACCCTACCTCCCAACACACACACACTTTCACAATCTGATTATGTTATTCTCTGCTTAAAACCCTTCCATGGTTCTCATTTCTCTTAGGATAAAAAGCACACATCTAAAAATGGCTTATTAGTAGGGTGATCATATAATTTATTTTCCAACAGGGCACTTAAGATCAAAAAGAAGCCCTACAGTTGTAAACTGGGACTAAGGCCATCTACTTATAAGGCAGGCCACGATCTGGTCCTTGTTTCCCCTCCAGCCTCGTCTGTCACCTTCCAGCCCACAGGCTCTAACCCCAGTCTTATTGAGCTATAAGCAGTTACCCTCTTCCCTCCAGACCTCTCAGCACGAGCTGTCCCCTCTGCACAGTACTTCCTTCTTCCAAGTCTCCACTATACCCTATACCCTACCCTTTGGCTTATTCTGTATATCCTTCAGATCTGATTTACCTTACATATTTCATCGGTTCTAAAATGCATGTTCTGGCCAGGCGCAGTAGCTCATGCCTATAATCCCAGCACTGTGAGAGGTCAAAGTGGGGGGACTGCATGAGCCGCCTGGGCAACGTAGTGAGACATCGTCTTTACAAAAGGTTAAAAAATAATTATGGTGGGGTGCCATGGCTCATGCCTGTAATCCTAGCACTTTGGGAGGCCGAGGCAGGTGGATTGCTTGAGCTCAGGAGTTCGAGACCAGCCTGGGCAACACGGCGAAACCCTGTCTCTACCAAAAATACAAAAAAAAAAAAAAAAAAATTTAGCTGGGCGTGGTGGCATGCACCTATAGTCCCAGCTACTTGGAAGGCTGAGGTAAGAGAATTGCTTGAGCCTGGCAGGCAGAGGTTGCAATGAGCTGAGATCAAGCCATTGCACTGGAGTGAGACCTTGTCTCAATGACAACAAAAAGTTTAAAAAATTAGCTGGGCATGGTGGCTCATGCCTGTAGTCCCATCTACTCAGGAGGTGGGAGGATCACTTGAGCCCACGAGGTTGAGGCTGCAGTGAGCTGAGATTTCGCCACTATACTCCAGCCTGGGTAAGTGATAGAAAGAGACCCTGCTTCTCAAAATAAAGAATAAAATAAAATAAAATGCACATCCCTCACCTCCCTTCCACCCCGTCACATTTTCACATCTCTGAAATTAGAATAGGTAGTAAAATCCATGACATGTCATGGTTCAATTGGCAGCATTTTTCTTCGTGGTACATAAATTAACGATGCATCTTACAGCAGAAGGCATCTTGGGTTTGATGACCCGTGTTATCACACTGCACTGTAACTGCTTGGTGCCATGGCTAGCTTCCCACTCACTGGGAAAGCTAGTCACTGAGGGCAAGACTGTGTGCTATTTTTCACTGGCACTTTCTGGAAGATGGTAGTTCCACAATAAACATTTTCTGAACATGCATAAATAAAAGCATGCAGCTTAATCAACTTTACTGAAAACACTTTATCATTTTCTATCTAGGCCCTATAGCTTAACTGGTAACATAAAACTTGCAATGAAGCAGAAAATTTCAGAAGAAAAATTTGTCTAAGGGTAGGGGGTTTTCTCTCAGATATTTCTGCACACTTTTTCCCCCTCAACACTTCTGGTTTGTTCTGGGTCTTCAGATCTCCTGAAGACTCTCGATGACTAACGGCAATCAAGATCCATATGGAAGAAGTGTTTGTTTTTAACAGCAGGACTTTAGATCTGTAAAGGGAAGTGAAATAAAATTATTGTATATATTTCCATTTTCTATGGAACAAGTTACAACTCACTCTTACCTTGTTTCACAAAGCAGAAGTGACAAAATGCCAAACAAAAATGCAGTTATTTATTCAACACATATCTGCAGAATTCCCACTATTTGCCTGCATTCTTTTCCATACTGAGAACATCCCAGTAAATACGACAAGGTCCTTTCCCTCTTGGAGCTTACAGTCAAATGATGGTTGAGATACAATGATGTACATACAAATTAAAAACGTAGCATGTCGGAAGTGTTGGCTGTGATGATGATATGCGAATGTAACGTTTTGTTACACTTGTGGGAACCCAAGCTTATCTGATCATAACAACTACTAGGGAGCTCATTAAGGAGGGAGATCTTGGGCCCCTGCTAGCCCCACTGAATCAAGATCTACAGCAGAGAGGCTGGGACAAAACTATTTTAGGAAGTGCTCCAGTAATTCTTGTGATCACAGGACACCGAGGCTGTATCAGAGCTTTTGAACTTTGGCTGCAAGCTAGAATCACATGGAGAGCTGTGAAAATATGTGACACTGGATCCCTTTCCCTTGGATTCTGATTTCGTCCATCTGGGATGAGCCCTGCCTCTGTATTTCAAAGCTCACCAGATGATGCTAGTGGCCAGCCGGGTGAGAACCTAGGGCTATACTGCCTTGGGGATAGTTGGAGGTTAGAATTGGCAACTTGCTGCCCACTCTTGCTCAGAAATCAGGCTCTTCTATGCAGCTGCTTGCCTGAGTCCAAGATGAAATATCTCTCCTACACCCCGGGAAAGACGGGCAGCTAACCCAGGTACTGTGTCTTCTGCGTCTGGCTTTATACCTTTGCCTTGGATGTAGCTCCTCTTTGGATATGCTTCCTGCACAGAGCCAAGTCTGAGAGGTGACCCCTACTGTAACATTTCAGCTGGGCCTGGCCTCAATATCCAGCTGTGATAATTTGATGCAACACTTTCAGTCACCTAGCACAAGCCATTCTCTCTTCGCAGTTTCTTTGGAAAGCCCCCAGTGTATAATTTCCATTATTAACTTCATTTTGAAATCCCATCAAGGCTACCGGCTGCTATGCCAGGAACCCAAAATGCAAACACTCCAACAGCTGCCTTGAAATAAAAGGAAAAAATGTTTCCCTTCTTCAGCTCAAAAACTTCCAAAACCATTACGTCACTACCCCTGGCCTCTAAGGGGAAGTGAGGAGGAAGGCAAGAAGATATAAGTCCCAGGAAACCCTGGCATGAGAAGCACTGTCATTCTCTTTTCCTACGACCAGTATCTGAAGTCCCTACCACTCTAAGACATTATATCCTACTAGGCACAATGGTAATTTTTTCCCCCAGAGGAAGTGGGGTGCTACGGAAAATACTCAAGTTCAGGCCTCAGTTGGAGAAGTGTGACACCTGTAAGCCTCAGTTTCCCCATTTGTCAGCTTTGTTGTGAGGATTGGAGGCGCCATAACTAAGGCAGTAACCATGGCACCTTGCACATAGTGGGTAGCTCTGATTGTTAGTGCATCCTCTCTGCCTTTTGGTATATTTCTCCTAGAGAAATGATTCTGCTGGGATTTTTTTTTTCTGTTGTTGCTCAATGAGCTGGAAAAGGCAGCCCTGCTGATTAGAATGCCGGTTTGCAGGAAACAGAGTGGTAGTGTTGACATTTGCAAAAAGCTTTCCTGCTAAACTTTAAACACTTGGCAGATCTCATCCTGCTGGCATTGCCTGTTGGAGATATTTCTATGGTTATAACGGACACGCCGAGTTCAATCAAACACCCAGGGAAAGGGCAGGATAATTGGTTTCCTTCAGGTTTCCAGCAAAGTTACGTGGACACAAAGTCCATTTTAGCACGGAGGAAACTAATGTGTATTGAGCATTACCTGTCTAGCACATTTGGAGGTGCTCAATAAATGCTGAGAAGCTGAATATACTGTGATGGGATGAATGTACTGCATAGGCCGGAATGGATTATGCATTTTAATTCTGTACTACATGTTTTGCTATGGGTAAATGGTTAATTTCAAATATTGATGTATTTATTTGAGCAAAGGGTGTGTCAGTCCACATGCTAGGTTCGAGAACATACCTGTAAGCAAAAACAGACAAGGTGTCTCTGCCTTCTGAGCCCTCAGCACAGACAGGGTGCTGAATCAGGAATATTCTCCTACTCTGTGTGCTAAGTCCTGTGGTGGGGAAAGCACTGAAGGCGTCGAACCCAGCCTGGACTGAAAGCTAGGAAGGGGAGGTGGAAATAGATGCTGGCTCTGGAGATGCCAGGCAGTGGGAAACTCAAGGAAGGACTGAGCCTCGGAGGAACTGGAAACAGGTTAGCCCAGCCTGTACAGGAAGAGACGAGAGGCAAGGTGCGGAGATCCCCAACTGGCTTTGCAAACTTTACTAGATCTTCTCTTGGACAGGCTAGTGTGCGGCAAGGCAAGGGCTGGTCGTTGCTATTAAAATAATTTCACAGGGGAAAATCTGCTTTTTGGTAAAGTTCCATTTGAAGTTTTTTTGTTTGTTGTTTGTTTTTTAAATTACATTGATGGAGATAGTGAGTCTTATAATTTCAGGGCCTCCAGAGTGCCTCCTGATTAGGTTTTGATGGTGACCTCCTTAGGGCAACGAGGAGTTATTAAAGTATTAACAACAGGGTAGCGAAATGCCCCCTTTCCCTTGGTCTCACCACTTTCCTAGGGACCTCCGTTCGTTCAGTAAGCGCAAACGAGCGGGTGTGGCTGCGGAGATGGAGTCCATCCACTTCCTGGTTTTCTGCTCAGCCTGCGGGAGAAGCAGTGAAAGAGTTGGGGACTTGGCTGCTGCCCGGGCTTGGCCCACCAGTTCAGCCTTGGCTTGGGGTCCAGGGTCCCCCACCCAAGCTCCCGTCGTTGGGGAGGCCCAGGCAGGGCGAGGACAAACGCGGTGATCGTGAAGCTGGACCCTAGAGAGACAGGAGCCTCCTTTTCCGCCCCGAGCGGCCACGACCTCGGTAGGGTTGCAAACCGCATCCGTCCTCTCCGTGCCACCTCCTCCAGTATCTTGTTTGTGCCCTGGACCCGATTCCTCCCTTTGTGCGAAATCTGCAGGGACCTCCCGCGTCTGGGGACTCCCGGGGCGGTGTGCTGTCCCCGCCGGGCGCGCAGCGCAGAGCGCCCCGTGCAGCGACAGCGCTCCCAGCACCCGCGCCCGCTCCGGGCTCCCCACCGCGGCCCTTTTCCTGGGCTGCAGACACTCCAGCCCCGCCCGTTCCGACAGCTGAGCGCACTGCCAGCGGGAAAACGTAGCGGGAAAACGTAGGAATAAGGTCGGGCAGTTCCCAAGGTCCCCCTCCACAGCCCACCTCCGAGCACCCTAGGGGCAATCCGTGCCCAGCGAGCGAAGGCCACAGCGAGGCAGTTCCTCGCCGTTACTTTAAAACAAAGTGTCTCTTTTCTGTGTTGGGATGTGAAGGAAAAACAGGTAAAATAAGATACCAGCGGTCAGGACTCAGCACGTAAAATGCCGCTTCTATTTATCCCGTCTTGCTTGCATCTCCGCTGTCGGCCTGCCTGTCTTTCTCTTTTTATGATTTTCTTTGTTTTATCACACAGGGAGTATGCAAATGCATTTCCATTGTAAGAGGCTGAAACAATGCAGGAGATTACAAAGTAAACTGTGAACACCTTATTGCAACTCCCCTCCCCCACTCCACTTCCCTCCTCCCCGGTAAAACCACTGCCTGCCGTTTGGTATGCAACGTTCACTCCTATTCCATGCATTTACATGTATGTGAAAGTACACATTCGGATATGCACAAATATAAGCTTATTGCATACATGCACATATATACATGTACACATAGCTTGTTCGCAGTTTTATGTCATGGAGACCATACAGTAAGGGTTCTTCAGATTGTCATTTTCATGTACTAATATGTCTTAAGGAGCTGTAAATGACAGAACATACAGGTCTTTTATGCCACAGCTCTATCTCTTTCTGATAGCTGCAAACTCCGAACTGTGGATTTCTCATTTCTCATAGGTTATTTAACCTCCCATTATTGACATTTCTGGTGTTTCTTTTTAAAAACTTTTTATTTTCTTTCTTTCTTTTTTGTTATTACAAACAGGAAGTAATAATTATTGTACTAGTTATTTACTGCTGCCTAACACAATACTCCAAAACTTAGTGGCTTAAAAGTATAATAAATATCTGTAATCGCTCACATTTTTTGCCAGTCAGGAATTTAGAGCTTCTTGGGTGAGTGGTTTCTGGCTCAGTGTTTTGCATGGGATTGCAGTCCAGATGCTGACTGGGGCTTCCGTCAACTGAGGCTTGACTAGGTCTGGAGGATCTATTTACTCTCAGGGCTGGTAAGTGGATGGGCTGTTGGTGGGAGCCCTTAGTTTCTCCCACATGTGGGTCTCTCCACAAGGCTAATTGAGTGTCCTCACAATATGGTGGCTGTTTCCATCGTAGCCAGTCATTCGAGAGAGAAAAGTAGAAGCATAGGGCCTTTTATGACCAGCCTCTGAAGTCACACATTGTCACCTTGGCCACATTCTAGTCATTAGGAGTAAGTCATTAACTGTAGCCCTTTTGTGAAGGAAAGGGTATCAAAGAATTTGTGAACATATTTTAAAACCACTAGTATTAATCTTATACATAATCTCTATGTAGTTGTGTGACTATTTCCTTAGAATATATTTCTAGAACTGGAATTGCTGGGTCAAGTGATATATGCACTCTTAACGTTGATAATTCCTCCTGTTTGTGTTAGAAACTGGTCATTGTCTCCCTAATATCCGTTTTCTCTTTTCTTCCTTTTAGCAACAAATCTCCTGAGTTTCAGGTGGGTATGAGTTGAGAATACATTTTCCACCTCCCTTGCTGCTACATGGGACATATAACTAAGTTATGGCCAATGGGAAGTGCGTATTGTGTACAATTTCTGAATCAGGTCCTTAAAATAAGCTGTTTGCTGTACTTCTGCTTTCCCCATGGAGAAATCTATTCAGAGAACAGATGTGGTGGTGGGAGTCAGCTTCCACCAGGCAATGCAGGTAACACCACTGGGGATGGTGGTACAATGTATATAGAAAGAGCCTGGGTCCCTGCGTAACCTTGTGGAGCTGAGCCAGCCTTCTTCCCAGGACTTTCTACTAGCTTAGACTTTTGTATGAGAAAAAAAAAATAAAGCTTTTATCTTGTTTCATCCACTGTTATTTGTTGATGATTTGCCTCCTAGAAAGCCTCCCCAACAATGTGTGAGTATCCATTTCCCCCATCCTTGCCCACACTAGATATTATCAATCTTCGAAATGTTATCAATCTGATGCCCCCCTCCCAACTTATGACTTTATAATCTCCTTCATGTGCTGCTGTACCAAATGCTAGGGGCAGGGTGAAAGATACTGACATAAAATTCAAGAAAAAAAACCTACCACAATCTGTATTAATAGAAAACACAAAGATATGTTGCTTTCAGAAGTATTCCTACATTCCCCGCAAAAGGCTCTGCAGGGTGCTGTGCCTTCCCTCAAAGGCATTACAGCCTAACTGGGAAGAGGTATCTGGAAATAGACAACTAGCAGTATGGAGCAGAGCAGTCTGGCTGCCCAATTCCGGGTGCTGACCCAGGGAGATTGAGGAGGGAGCTGTGATGGAGGACATTTACCCTCCCAAAGTCAGTGGTTTATGAATTTCGTATACTATTCAGGTGAGAAGCAGGGAGAAGGAAGTGGACTATCTGGGAGAAAACTGTGGCAAATGCTATGGAGTTAGACTGTTCATGTCCCATCCCTGCCACTTCACTCTGTTGGCACATACTTACTGAGTGCCTTCTGCAAGCAAGGTAGTGTTGGTGAGGCTTGCAGAAGGGGCGTCCCATGAGAAACTCCGCTGTATCTGGAGTTTCCTTTCAGAGGGCTGAGACACATGACGACGGGCTGGGCTTCAGTTCCCTCGCCTGGAGAGTGACGAGGACACCAGCACAGAATTCCAGGGCTGCTGGGAAGATGGAATTGAAATAGTACATGTAATGGGTCGCACTCACAGTGCCTGGACGGAACAATTGCTCTTAAAGGTGGGTGTTATAATTAAGAAAAGCCATGAAGGAGAAAGCCCCCAGAGCCCCCAAAGTTTCTTTCTGTGCTTTCACTGGTGACTCCCATAAACTTTGTTCTAATGCCGCCTGATATAGTGTGGATCTTTGTCCCTCCAAATTTCATGTTGGAGTATGATCCCAGGGTTGGAGGCGGGGCCTGGTGGGAAGTGTTAGGTCGGGGAGTGGATCCCTCGTGAATGGCTGGGTGCCCTCCTTGTGGTAATGAGTGTGTTTTTGCTCTATTAGGGTGAGACCTGATTGTTTAAAAGATCCTGCACCTCTTCCTCTCTGTCTTGCTCTCTCTCCTGCCATGTGACCTGCCTGTTCCCCCTTTGCCTTCTGCCATGAGTAAAAGCTTCCTGAGGCCTCACCAGAAGCTGAGCAGTTGCTGGTGCCATGCTTATCCAGCCTGCAGAACCATGAGCTTAATAAACCTCCTTTCTTTATAAATTACCCAGTCTCAGGTATTCCTTTACAGCAATGCAAAATGAACTAATACCACTGCCCCCACAGAAAAACTCCTGCTTTCATAAAAGATATCCATTCTTTCTCAATGAGATGAAAATAATTGATGTAGTCTGACACACTACTTCTGTTGCATTTAACCTTTAGTGGAGAACATGCCATGTGTTTGGCTAAATCATAGGGATGAAAGTCTAATTATGAAATTTCAGGCATCAGCAAACCTAAATCAGGGGCATTTGGGCCAGTTGAGGGTGCTTCACTGACACTGCTGAAATCAACGTTTTTAGGGAGCTGGCCCAGTCTTGTCTCCCCTTCCCTCTCTTCCAGCCCCTTCTGATCTCTTCTGTCTCTGCTCCCCTGCCTCCCCTTTATTTCTCTCCCTTCCCCTCTCTTCCCTCCTCTCCTCTGTTTCCTCTCTGTCCTTCCCTTGCCTAAATGGCTATCTGAGTCCCTGATGATTCAAAGTGATTACATTTCCATAGGCAGGTGTGTGTCTTGTTTAGTCACATTAAAAATAAATCACTTGGCCACGCGCAGCCGATGCATCAATCTGTTACTTTCCTCTGCTTTCCAGGAACAGATTGCTCAAAAACCAAACGACTGTTGGGTGAAATGTGAGTGGGGAAAGGAGTGAGATGAAGGGAACAGAGCCTTTCCAAACTCACCCTTCAGCCTTCCCACCCCATCAGAAGGGAAATCAGTCATGCCCACCATCCTGCCAATAACACAGTAGAGTGGCTGCATTCTTTGGACCAAGGACAGTGAGCTGTGGAAGAAATCTAGTTGGAGAAGAGGCATAGGGGCTTGTGTTTACTCAGCATCTACTATGCATCAGGCCTTGTGCATCTGTTCTCTTCTAAAGGGGAATCAGGATCCTGGTTGAGGGACCCTGGACTATCACCTTTCAGGATCTCAGTTTCTTTAGACTAAAAACATTTATTCCTATTCAAAAAAAAAATTTTTTTTTTGGTAGAGATGGGGTCTTGCTATGCTTCCCAGGCTGGTCTCAAACTCCTGGGCTCAAGTGATCCTCCCACCTTGGCCTCCCAAAATGCTGGATTATAGGCATGAGCCACCGCACTAATTCATAGTCTAATAATTCCTTTTGGCATCAGGGACAAGTCCTGGGGTTATTCAGGCTTAGCTCCACCATTTTGGGTAAATTGCTTATCACCTCTGAGCCTCAGTTTCTTCATCTCTAAAATGGGGATGGGAATCAAGATCAAATGAAATACTGTATTTAAGACATCTTTTTTAAATGGACAGCTAAAGTGAGGTTTAATCTTTACTTCAAAACATGCACATTTTCACATTCTTAGAGATTTTTAATAATTTTTATAGGTTGAGTGGTGTTTTTCCAGGTGGTATAAGTGTGTGTGTGTGTGTGTGTTCTTCTTGCTCTTGATGAAAACAGTCTGAGGAAGAGACAGCTGAGGTTTTTTGTAGTAATCTTGGCACTAATGAAAACCAGACCTTGGCCTCCATAAATGCTATTGGGCATTCAGTCAGGGGGTGGCAAGTATCCCAAGATGTCCCCTAGTGAATCAGACGTCCCCTAGCGAATCACACCGCCCTGGTGTGATCCCCTCCCACACTGAGTCTGAGCTGGTCTGTGACTTGCTTTAACCAATAAAGTGTGTTGAAAGTGACGCTAAGCTGCTTGTGGTCTAAGTTTTAAAAATCCCCAAAGTTTATATTTTTGTGCTTTGGGGATTGTGAAGAAGGAGAGACCTTGAGAATATATACATAGAGAAAGAGAGGGAGGCAGGGAGGCCCAGCTGTCCCAGCTTCACAACTGAGCCAGGCCTCCATCCACCCCCTCAAGGCACCAGCCAAGTGAATGACCTAACCTGAATACTTCAGACCAGGCCAGTCCCCAGTTGGCTGCAGCCTAGCTGCTATCATGTGGAACAGAAGACCCGCCCAGCTGATCCCATGAGAGATGATAGAATGGTTGTCTTAAGCCATTCACTTTTGGAAAGGTATATTACAAAGCAACAGATTATTGAAAAAGCTCT